TGGTCATCACAGAGGACATCCCGGTTTTCTGCTATTCTGTCCTCTATTGATATGAATCCTGATGCCTTTATGTCCTCTCTTTATGTCCTCTTGAAGAGAAAAATAGAGGACATAAAGGCATCCGGTTTTGTATCAATAGAGGACAACCGGACTGCCCTCTATGCTGGCCACCCTAATGGCAAGAGAGAAGAGAAGAAGCACAAGGAGGAGAGACATAGAAGAGACTGAGATGGTGAACAAACACCCAGGTGCCATGGTGCAGGGCATGGTTGATGTAGGGAGATCAGAAAGAGAAACCACCTGTGGGTAAGTAGAGACTAGCTCCATTGACTTTGATAGGATTATGGACAGAAAAGGTGGAGGGGGCGGGAGTTAGGGGTCTTGTGTCTGTTCTGGGGAGATCCATTGGAGGGCACAGGGGTCTATGGGAGATCACGGGCCATCTCCCTGCCGTGCACTTCAGTCTGACCAGCTCCCGTCCAGGCCAGTCCCCTTGCAAACTGGAGAGCCATCTCAAATGTCTTTGGGAGCTCGGTTGACTAAACAAGCAAATCTACTCCTCCACTTTTCCATCCGGCTCGTTAGTTTTGCAATTTGTCTTCCCGCTGGTGTGCGGGTGGGGGTAGGGCCAAGGAGGGAAAACGCACCACAGGCCCGGGAACCGGCTGAGGCAGCAAGATCCACGGAGGAGAAGGAGCCAGGCCTGTAAGCTGCAGTGTTTGAGATCAAGCTCTTCCAGGCAAGCCCAGGCAGGCTGAGCACAGGAGGGGCCTTGACCTCCCTTTCTGTCTCTCCCTTTCTCGCTGAGTACACACAGTGCTTTGTAAAAGGCAGCCCAGTCTCGCTAGCCCGCATTGGAGGGCAAAGTTTACAACCCAGGGAGAAAGTTTATTGTCTCGCATTCTTTCTCTCAATCTCCTTGGCTGGAGGAAAACCTCCTAGCTTTGATGGAAGAAAAGACAGCCCCCTCCAGCCCTCCCCCTCCTCCTCTGCCTGGTTACTACAGTATTGTCCCCATCTACCCACTCCCTCCCCTGCACACACATTATTTATACATCTTCTGGCTGCTGTAAAAAAAAAAAAACTCATTGAAAAAATTTCACTTGGAAGTTTGTTTTGTTGGTTTCAAAGCCGAACAAAATGAGGTTGTTTCAGACCATGTGTGATGCTCTCTCTCCATCCCCCTTCCCTGCTTCAGAGACTTGACTCTTCCTACAGGGTCTTTCAGGGCACGGGGAAAAAAAATCTGTCTGTTTAATTTTCTCCCCCCCCCGCAACGTCTGTGCAAAATGTTCACCCCTTTCCATGGGGATAAGCCAAAATAAGCCATTTGCTTCTTGCAAAGCCAAAAAAAAAAAAAAAAAAGAAGAGAGAGAAAGAACCAAAAAAAAGATGGCTGCTTCACATGGCTTGGCTTAGAACAGCCTTGCTGACACCAAACATAGGGAAAAATAAAATCAAAAGTCAGCTCCTCCAAATTAGCACGTTAGCTCCCAAATACTCCAAATTTTTAAACCTCCTGCCCCACACACACCATATCACAGTCCATTTATTTGCCTCCTGGGATGTGACCCTTTGAGAGTCACATTTTCAAACATTTCTCTGCAAAGAGGCTAGGCTAGAGGCTTCCTTGAGACATCAAAGCAAGGAAAGCTAAGAGTCTCTCAAGCACAAGACTCCAGGAGTCTGGGCTCTAAGAACAATACCACGTCACACTTACAGTGAAATCAGGAGAACTACCTGCCAGGCTCCAGCCTACTCCATAGGGCCATTACAGACTGCCTGGTGTTTGTCTGCCCCATGCTTTGGCCAAAAGATCTTTCCTCCAGCTGTGTGTCATGTATCAGCTGGCCTCCACCCCAGACACAGCTGCATTTCAGCAGGTCTCCCATATGCATGCAGTTTATCAAGCACTTCAGGATCATTGGAAATCAATGTGGGGGAGGGGGGAGTCTGAAAGCCACCATGGCTTTCATCACCTCCTGGCTCAGATTTTACCTTCTGCTCCTCCCAGGTCACACTGAAAACACTGATCCTTTCCCTTTCCATCACCCTCATCCCAAGACACACACACCCAAACCCCAGACCTGTCCCACCCTATCCAGTGCAGCCAGCCCATCTACCTGGGGTGCTGGTTTTGGGGATGGTGCATAGCAAACCCACACAGCCAGCAGTGAGGAGGCTCTTCCATTTGTGATGGGAGGAGTCCTGAGCGCTGTGGCAGGTGCCAACTCTTAAGGCTTGGCGGGATTTGCATAGTGGCTGGTGTAAGTGTCCTGTAGTCCTGTGCAGTATTGGCTGTGGCAGCACCCCAAGGACTAAGGGGATGGAGAGGGAAGGAAGTAGCCACAACTCTTCAGCCTTGCCATCACTATGTGGCTTTAAAGAACCAGGAACACAGCTTTTCAAGCCAGGTTTAAAAAGGCAGCTCCTCTTTATTAGTCAGGCTGGGGAAGCATTTGCGATTCCTAGACAAAAGCTGCTGCCCTAGTCCCAAGCATTGGAGCGACTGCCCCTGGCTTAGGACTGGTCTCTGAATGTGAGGAGGTGGAAGGAGAGAAATCCCCCCTCTCTGTTGGTGGTATGAGGATGCCTCTCATTACTGCCCCACCTGCTTTTGTATCCTGGCTCTTGAGGTGCAATAACCCCCTTCCTTTGGTTAGGGAGCTCTGCACAAGCCTCCTTTGATGCCTATATCAGAGCTTCAACTCAAGCAATTGAAAGAGCTGCCAGTCCTTTTCCATGCCACCAGCCCAGGAGGCCTGAACCCAAGCTCCCTGTTTAGTGGTGCTGGGCCTCACTGTCATGGGACTGATGCCTCTTCCATTGCCCTTTACCCTCTCTGCTGCTTGTCTTTCATCTCACCAGAGCCAAGGCAAGGCATCCGACAGGCATTTTGTTTTTTTGAATGAAGTTCCTCCTTCTCCAAGCAGGGCTCGTCACCCGTCACCCAGCTCCAACTCCCACTGCCAGTCAAGGATGCCATTACCAGAGATGAGACTAAAAATGTGGCCCCAAGCTGACTCCTTTCGGGGTAAAAACCTGACCAGAATCCAAGCAATCAAGGAGGACCAACAGGCCCACGGGTTGAGAGGATGGGAGATCCGTCAATGGAGCCACATCAGACTGAGATGGCAATGCACACATTTTTCTCCAAAACCACACAGGTGTGTGTGTCCCCCACCCCTTGTTCCAAGCCCTCTCCTGCTATTGCCCCATGCCTCTGCCTGTAGGTGAAGACTGCATCGTTATCCCTAGATTTGCTGAGCCGATCAATCGGGCTCAATGTTCCCCAAATGCCGTGCCTCTGTACAGCTCCAAGGTCATGAGGAGTTCACTCTCCCCTGCCTTTTATGCTGCTTTTTTTTCCCCTGCCTCTGACATCCTTGTGGAGCCAATTGCTTTTCAGTGTAATTAACCTCAAGTGGTTTCATCTATTACTGTCTCCTTTGTGCGCCTTCTACCCAGTACCTCCCAACCTGCTTCCCTGGGTTGCTGGGGCTTCTCCTCGGCACTACACAGCTCACTGGCTTTGAGATGGAGGATGTCTTTGCCACCACAACAACCCTTTGAACAGGCACTTGCTGATTCAATTGTTTTCAAAGGACCTGACCCCTCATGCCCCCGGTCTCATTACCATCCAGTTCAGTTACGAGAACCAGGAAAAGCTAAAACTGCCCTTTTCTCTGGCCCGGCTTAACAAAGTGGCCTTGGGGCAAACCTGAGAGAGACCTAGCATTGCATAAAGGTGTACTACTCCTTGGCAGTGCTGAGGAGATGCATGAGAGACAATTTGAACTCAACAAGCGCACACAGCATCCTCTGGTCCAAGCCATTGTTTGCAATGAGAGTTTTAGCCACTGCCTTGCAATTCCCCTGGCAGGATAGCACAGGATGCTCATAAACATTTCACTTGTCCATGCCTCAGTTGCCCATCTGTAAAGGTAAAACACACTTCTCCGCTGTCTCCCACTACATATATACAGACAAAGGCACTCCAAAATCCTAGGCAGACCAGGACACAAAGCCTCCCTGGGGCTCTGTCCCCATGTTATGGTCCCACCTATAGTCTTTGAGTGAATTAGGATCCCCCCTACAACCTCAGGGAAGCTGGAGCAATACTGTGAGGACCCCTTCTCTCTACAAGACTGGCAGCAGGGCTCCTGTTACCCTCAGAAGCTCTGGGCTTGGCACACGCAGGGGCAGAGGGCTCTACCCCAACTGACAGAGACAGCAGGGGCATCTCAGTACTAACCTCAGCATTTGAGGTGTGTGTGTTTGGATGGGCCAGACCCACTGCTCACTTACCCACTTGCCCCAGAGACAGTGCTCTGCCGGGGTAGTGTTGGTGAGGACACCAACCACAATGAATGTTAACACCCCATTGAGATGAATTGTAGTTACACTTCTGTGAGTAGGCTCTCTTCAAGCTCAGGCAGAGGCCATGTTGTTACCTACACTCAGATCATGTCTGCAAGCTTCCTTTCTCAATGGTAAGGTCTGGGGACATATTATAATAATAAAAGTTTAAATTCAGCTACAGTCACAGGATCTGGGGCATAAGATACTGATCTATTTTACTTCTCTCTGGCAGTGATGTGCCACTGCCTCAGTCTCAGAGTTTTATTTATAATACTTTAGATATTGCAATAATACAAATAATAAGCATAACATTTCATTCTTGACCTCCCAAGTTGTCCTATTCACACCCCACAAACCTATGCATCTCTGAGAAAAGAAAGACATGTTCTCCATTGATTAGGACATTACACTAAGGCTTGAAAGACCTGGTTTGATGTATTTGTTCTGTCTCAGCCTTCCTACATGAACTTGATTAAATAGCCTGAACAATGACAACAGTACTGCCCTTCTCATAGGGGTGCTGGGAGGCTAGATCCATTAAAAGACTGAGTGTCACTTATCTCCTACAGTAATGAGCCATCTAGGTATATAAGCTGAACAGAAAAAGCAGCAAGGAGGCAGAAGTAGTTTTTCATTTTTAAGATTTTTTATTTATTTGTAAATAGCTTTCCATGAAAAAGGTTAAATTGCACACTTATCTTTGCAGTTCTTCAGCATCAGTATGGAATAGGCCTCAACACAGGAAAAATGAAACCAAAAAGAAACTATATAAAAAACCCCAATAACACCTAGGCCCAGTCTGATCATTGGTAGCCTTGGAATGGAGATGAGATTGATGTGGTTATGTCTCTTGGATCAGAAATGCTCCCAGCTCTTGAAGCAGGGCAACTAGTTGGGGGGGGGTGAAGATTTACCTTTTTTTTCTTTTTTGCAGAGGCATTTTGGAGGTTGTTCATCAAGTCATAGCTATGGTTATAATTTTCCCCTGGTCCATCCCATGCAACTAGTAGGACCATACTACAGTCCCAGTGTGTTGCACCTGCTGACCCAACACCAGACCTCAGGGGGCAATGGCTGAATGGTTGATCTTAATAGTCCCACCCCACACCAGCAGCCACCTGTATGGTGATCCTGGACCAGTGCTCCCAGCTACTGGAAATCTGCATAACTCCAGCGAGGTCAGCAGAGAGAAGCAGAATTGCCCCAGCTGAGAACCTAGCCCAAAATACCTGGAAACCCAAATGCAAAGCATTGCATTTCTGACCTCTGTGATCTTGAATGCAAGTGAATGCATCAGTTAATACAAGAATTTTCTTTCAGGTTTGTTAAGCTACAACTAAACTCCAGCTGAATTAGACTGCTCCCATTAAGGTTCCTAAGTTCTTATTTGCTTACAAAAAAAATGTTTAGGGTTTTTCTTTCTTCAGTAAGTTTAACATACTCCAAAGAAATTACATATTGTGCTAACTAGGAGCTATTTTAACTATATCACCTACAACAACAGAGAGACTTAGAATCTGATTCTCTATAGCTTGAATTCAAGTTTTAGCAAGGTTTTTGTTTGTTTGTTTGTTTTTTTATCCTACCAAAATATTTCTAGGCTGCCTATGCATACTTCACAGTTACCCTTCCACACTCCCAGTACACAACAAAACCGGGGCCAGCTCTCCAGTATAGATCAGCATAACTCCACTGGGACTTGGTCAACTTAGACTAGCTGAGGAGCTGGCTCTCAGATTGCTGAAAGTCTTCAGAAATAATGATGTCAGGTTGCTTCTCTTTGTCCTGGCTTCCGGATAGTCAAAAAACCACCATATTTTCTAACTGCTTTGGAGATGACCATAGCAAGCTGGTGTCCCCTTCACATGTTTCCGAGGACAGGGAGATAGGTTTTGCTCTTGGCCTAAGGCAAGACAGTTAATGTATCCCTGTCTTGCCATCCCCATCTGTAAAGTGGGAATGATAATACTTACTTCACAGGGGTGTTGTGAGTTTTAACCGATTAACCGTTGCACAGCGCGTTGAGCATAGTAAGTGCTGAGAAGTCTTGTTGTCTCAGGAGAGAAGCAGAGTAGAAGGTAAGTATGTTAGAGAAGGCAGAAGAGGGGGCTTTAGCCTCCACTTTCATCCCCAGCGTCTGTTGCATGCACAGTCTTTGGCCTATGACTCGTTGACTGAGCCTGGATCCAGATTTTATTCCATTTTATTTTTTTGTTAGTCCAATACAAGAGCATTAGTTTAAATAAAAAACAAAACAGTTGGTCCTCATCACCCCGGGTGGGAAACCCAAACACAACAATGCAATGAAACAAAGAAACGTTTTCCCATGGTCCTGGCAGCTCCCTCACCAACGCTGAGAAAAGCCTGGTCCTTCATATGCCTCCTGGATGACCCTAAAGACTGCTCAGAGCCTGACACATGAGCAGACAAGGGGGCGTCCCAGTTTCTGATCAGAAAAGAGACTGCTGTTTGGACAGCGGTTCAAAACCATACAAGGTTCACAGTGATACAATCCTAGACCTTATGGCAAACATGGCCACGCACAATTTGCAGCAAGGAGTTCAGGATATAAAAAGCTAAAAAACTAAGAGCAAGCACAATCTGGAGAAATTAAGATCTCCTTTGTTCCTCCCCGGTCTTGATGATTTTCTTGATCCTTAAAGAAATCCATTGCTTCCGATGTAGGAATTTTCCCTTGCATATTTTGTTACCACAAACACTTGACACACTTCATATTTAATTTGCAGAACAATTAACATGTCTCTATATAGTAAAAACAGGACCCCATTTCCATTGCCATCCCGCCAAAAAGATATTCTACTGATTGTGCATTGGTGCTAAAAATATAGGTCTCTTTGAATATAGATATATATATAATAAGACTATATAAAAAAATCTGAAGAGGCAGACTTGCTGAATTGCATCTGATTTTTCAGAACTCGTCTTCTTCCCTAGCCCCAATTAAGGAGGGAGGCTGCACTCATACAAGCCAGAAGGGACCTTTATTTGCCTGCTATCTAATTATCTCATGTTATACCTGGGAATTTCCCTGGATAGAAAATAGAGAGAGAGAGAGAGACAAATGGAGAGAAGAAAGATGAGAAAATTGCACATGGTCTATAATGTCCTAAACCACCAGGAAATCTCATCTGTCATATCTAACTTAGCAGGTGTTCTCTTCTAACCAAAAAAAGGGAACACATACCCCTTCCATTCCCATGAAAAATAGGATAATCCAGTTTTCTTTTAAAAACACAAGTACAAAAATAAGTACAGTTATTCTTTTCTCTTGGGGAAACCCAAGGGCCAGAAACTTCTCCCAAAGGGTTGCTTAAAGATAAATCCAGCCAAAATGTTCTGTCTTTTTAATTTGGAGTTTTGCAAGTACCCATACTTTGCAGTTGATAAAGTCACCATATATGTTTCCGTTTCTGGAAATTTCATCTCTTGTAAGTTCAAACAGTGCTGGGATCATCCTGCTAAAAGATAAAGTCTGCCTGGGTTCAAGTTGGTTCTTCTAACTGGGAGCTGCCTCTTATAAGAATGATCCCACACTGCTCCAGTCATTCATGTCTGTTGGCAAAGAAGAATCATTGAGTTCAAACAACTGGTCCATGTTGACTGAGTTTGAGAGGTAATCATTTCTCCCTTCATCCCAGGGATGCTGAAGGAAAGATGTAGCCATGAAAGTTTCATCAAAGTCCAAGTTGTTCTGGTTGGCTTCTGTAAGGACCTGATCCTGCCCAACTGGGCACCATTCCTGAGGGCAGTCAATGTGTCTTCCATGTACTGTCAAGTCCACATCTCTCGTTATTGGGCTAATAGGAGGTGTGAGCTCCAGGTCCTCAAAAGTAGAGAAGTCGCCATTCAAGGTAGTGTCAAAGATGGCTTCCCAGTCAAAGTCACCTTTCAGTGATCCTAGCTCAGTTTGTTCTTCCTGGGTGAGTAGAGGGGAGCTAGAGAGACGAGCTGTTTTGTGTGTCCGTTTGGGCAATGGCTGTTTCCGCTTGTGGCCCATTTTTCCATCTGCTGGATTCCAGTTCTGGTCGCTGGTGACTTCCTCAAACTCTTTGAGCAGCTGCTGAGACTCCATGTTGACGTTCAGGACGCCGTTGTTGGTCCAAGAGGATGTTGCCTGATTAGGAGCCGACCCAGTGTCTTGTTGGACTCTGTTGGTGAAGGCTGGGTGGATCTGCACAGGAGGCATCCTGCGTTTTTTGAAGGCCCCGTTCATGAGCCTGTCAGCATACTGAGGGTCAATTTTCCAGAACCCACCTTTCCCTGGCTCGTCCTTCTCACGGGGCACCTTGATGAAGCACTTGTTCAAGGACAGGTTGTGCCGGATGGAATTCTAAGACAAAAAGGAAAACAGCAAAGTTGAATACACGTAACTTCATACACAATCCACCTATTTTTTTAATTAGGAGTTTTGTGAATACTCATACTTTGCAGCTGATAAAACATAACATAAACCATGCAAAAGGGCAAATGAGCCCGTCCTCACCAGGTCCCCAGATAAAGAGGCAGAGATTGCAACAGTAAGACAAACCATTCTGGGCTAACTGCTGAATGGTGCCACACAGTAGACCCTCCTCCACGCCTTGTGGCCACCAAAGAGATGATGGAACGGAGCTCCATCACCTTCATTCTACATCACCTTGAGCAGCAGGGGCCAAAGGGCCTGGAGCCAAAGTTTACTGAAGACCCTGGAAGCCTTCCTGTTTGCTGTTTGGATCAGGCTCACAGAGCAATGAGACTGGGGAACAAGTGGGTGGTCAACAATATTCCCAGCTAGCTCTAGGAATGAGTGATACAAGTGTTAGCGTCAGTTGGAAATCACTTGGCCAAAATAGCTTTATATAGATTCGCTGCTACCTCTGATTTCACCACAGTGCCTAGAGATTGAACTGGCACATACAATCCTTTACTCAGGAATGGTCTCTCTGGACAAGCCTATGGGAAGCTTATTCCCTGCTCTGAGCCGACTATACAAATGGTTGCTCTGGGCTGGAGTGCAGCATACTGGGACAACCACTTGCACTGCATTTGCACGCCCGTTTGTTGGGCCCATGGCTGAATTTCTCCCATAGATCCCAACGCTTGGGAAAGCTTGGTATGAAATCAGTCTGTATCTTCGTGAACACAAATCAAACTAGCTGGGAAAAAAAGGGGGCGGGGGAGAAAAGAAAAGGGGGGAAAAAAGAGGAGTTTCTGCTCCCGTCGAGCTGTTCTGAAAAACATGAATGTGTCTAGAGTGATATGCATAATCAGAAAGGAAACTCAGTTATTGGGTAAATAACGCTGTGTTACATTGCACAATGCCTAGAGTGTGTTAAGAGATTGGATATGGTGAAGGGTTTTTTTTTTTCAATGTTGCCTGGATATCTTTATGCTTATTCATCCATAATCCGTATTGCCGAATAGCAAAAACAAGGCTTGAATGCCTGGAGTGCTAAATAAAAAAAAACACAACAAAAACCTTCCTCTGGGCTGAAACTCCTCGGGCATGCTGGCTCTCCTCCAAAACACGCAGCTCTCCCAGGAATCTATCCATCTCCCCCCTGTGTATGGGTGGCATGACCTTTTGAGTCTGTCTCCACTTACAGGAATTGGGTTGGGGGGAATGAGAATACAGTCATGATGGGAGAAAAGGAAAGAAAGGCAAGGGGGAAAAAAAAAAAACCAACCCAACAATTCCTCCAAAAGCTCCAGACTCTGGTGATTCAGGATTTACTGTTTAATGAAATTTTACAAGGGTCAGAGAATTCCAAGCCAAATTCTCTACCCCTACCCCGAAATTTCATTCAGCCTGGCTGGTCGACAGTTGATTATTACCAAGCCAGTTAGCATATTTATCATTCCTCCCTGCAAAAAAAAAATCAAAAAAAAAAAATCAATCAAACCACCTGTGTCTATGCAGAGAGGGATTGAGAACTTTTGTTTTTTTAATAAGCTCATTTAATTAAAAATGCAGCGATTCTCCAGATAGGAAATTGCAGGAGAAGGCAAAGCATCAGCGCTTAGCTCCTATATGACTGCTCTGGTGAACTCACCAGCGCACAAGAATGCTGACTTCCTTACAAGTGCTGGGGGATATAAACTGAAAAAGAGCCTCATCTGGGTTGTTCCTTTGTCTAGGGGAGCGTTCCTTAACTGCCCATGTCTGCAGCCTTTGCAACTTGTACCTCTCACCATTGGTGAAGCTGGGCTGGGTCAATGGAGCTGCTCCCAGTTTACACAGCAAGTAGGAAGAGAACCAGGTGTTGTTGGGCCTCTCCAGGTTCAACCTCCAGTGCGGACTAGGGAGCACTTGCAGCTGCACGGTTGAGGGTTGGAGCAGTTGAGAGTGAATCAAGCTGAAGGGGAAGCCCTGGGCACTTGCTGAGCTAGTCATGGTGCAGAGCTAGAAACCACCACCCTAGCTAACCTCCATCTCGATGGTTCCACTGATTTGTTTAAATCTAGAAGGGCCCTGACTCAGGTCTCGAGCAGGGCAGATTTGGTTTCTTTTCTTTGGGTCCTTACAGGGATGGCCAACATGCAGGATTAGCTGGAGCCCTAACAGGATAAGAGTAATATGGAACCTGGGTAACTTGACCTTGCAGCCTGTGGCCGGTCACCACCACTGTAGCAAGAATGGACCTGATTTACCTCTGTGCCGATGCAGAGTCCAGCATAGACTTCATAGCCAGCTTGAACCTCTCCAGTCCCAGGGTTGTCAGGTCAACTGAACCCCCAATGGCAAGGCCAGCTCTCAACCAGCATCCTGCTTGCTATGATGCCCTATGGACATTACGTCAGCCTGGGAATACCATGATGGAGGAACTCCCTGACCCCACCTCCTCCCACCCGTGGTATATCCCCAGAATGCCTCCTGTGCCAGGGGTTGCTGTGTGTGCACACAGGGCACTGAGCCAGGCTGGCAGGGAAAGCCCCCGTGCTCTGGCATTCCTTAGGGGGCATGAAACTCTTAGGTAGCCACCAATGAATGGGAGCTCTATGACACAGCTCCCTAACCCATCAGCTGTGGGCACAGCTGCAAGCTAGGGGCACAGCTGGGTCTTTAGAGGAGTGCAAGGTGTTATTTATCATCAGCATCATCTCCAGCAACCCTGTAGCTTAAGGGAAATGGTTCGTCTTTAGACAAGGGGCAAAGGAAGTCTTCGATGAGTGGGGGATACAGGTGACATGGACAGTGTTTTGGGGCCTCCCTCTGAGCAATGAAGTCTCTTCCCACCCTCGTTCCACAAGCACCTGAAGTGTGTGAGCATTTGACCCAAAATAGACACCATTTCTCATTGTGGTATATTTTGGGAAAGAGCGGAGTTTATGGATCTACATGTTTCTGCTCAAGGATTTTCTAAAAGAAAGTGTCTCCCCTTCCTCCAAATCTTTTCCTCTGTGGCCTATGAAACTGCTGACTCAGAGAGCTGATGGATTCACTAATCCAGCAGGGAACTGCAGAAATAAATCCTCAACCTCAGGACCGACAGCTCCTGCATCTGAAGAGAGCGCGGAGGTGGTACTCAGGGACGGAGATGCCTCCCCAGGAGAGCTGCATCAAGCTGCAAAGAGGAGTTTCAACCACTTGTGGCAGAATGTGTACCGTTCACAACTAGCATCAAAATGGTAGTGGCTTATGCCAGGTACCAGGATAATGGCTGTCTCACTGCAGCCAGCAGCTCTTGTAGTCAAAGCCATTTTTCAAGGCATTGTTTGGTTTACAAGCTCCAGACTAGGGAAGTCTTGTCTGTGCCCTTGATCCTGACTGTTCTGGAAGTTAAACGCATCAGATACAGTTTCCCTGCCCGTGTCTCTTCAACTCGCTTTCTTCCTTCATACTGTTTGTTTTGGTCTCCTCTCATTTTCTCTTACCCCCCTCACCCCCCTTTTTTCTTCTTACTATCCTCCCATCCTGTCTTTTTCCCCAGTCTCTTTTTCTACCCTTTCCCCCCTTATTATTCCCTCTTCTTTCACATTCTTTTCCTACCCCTATTTTCGCTCCTCCCTTCTTTGCTCTCTGAACCAAATTCTCTTCTCCATTGTACTGCTGCAACACACTGTAGTCAATACAGATGCTCCAGAGAAACGGAGAACAGAATGCATCTTTCTTTCTCTCAATCTCAGCCTCTTTCCAGCAATGGAGATGTCCTGGACAATCACTAACTTTACAAGGGCAAATTCCTGTTTACACTGGGCTACATTCTCATTTACTGAAGCTTCTGTATGCTACTGAATGTTCACTCCAGGCAAACCTCAGTACAAAGCATAGCAAGTGTCATTAATTGCACCCTGGAGAGACAGAGAGAAAAAGAGAGAGAAACACTGCCATAACCAGGAACATTAGGAGATCTAGCAATCAATGCTAATCGGCCAGTAGAAAGTTCTTTATTTCTTCCGAACTGTGTAGGATTTCCTATTACCTCTTCAAATACAGCTAGGCCAACTGCTAGACACACCTTGTTGGTGCATGGTGTGTGTTCCTCCTCCTGTATCTCTCCAGACCAACTTGGAGTTGGACCACCAACAGCTCTAGAGAAACGCCTGCCTTTATCTGTTTGAACAGGTGCCCATCACTGTATTATCTCCAAACCCAACCCAGTCTTCTTCCATGAAAGAGAGACAGAGGGATGGAGGTCACCTTTGGTCACCTACCTGCCAGGTGGGGTCAGCATGTCTGAAGTAGCAGAAGTTATCTGTAATCCATTTGTAGATGGCCGAGAGGGTGATTTTGCTTTTCTTGCTGGCTTCCATGGCCATGCAGATGAGTGTGGCATAGGAATAAGGTGGCTTTACGTGAGGGTTGGTCTTATAGTCAATGTCTTCCATGGGCTGGGCCTGCATGCCCACTCCAAGATGAGCAGTTCGGGACGTAGAAGAAGAAATGGGCTTGCCAGGGGTATGGGGCATACCCATGCAAGCTGGGTCAGCAGCCAAGGGTGAGCATGGAGCAGCTGAGCCAGGGATCTTGTGGTAGTCGTGAGGGTCCGAGCTGCTGGGAGAGGAGGAAGACTTGCCCACGTTGGCATTGATGATGGAGAACTCTTGCAGCCACTGAAGACTGGTGAGGCTGTCGTCCAAATTGCCAGAGTCCCCCATGCTGCTTTCCTGCCCTCTTTCTTCCTCTGCCTGTAGGTTCAACCAGCTATCAGCCATGTCTGAGGAGGCTAGAATAGGCAGATCCAACATTCAGGAGCTGATGGGTGAAAGGGGCAAGGGAAGGGAGCTGGGGAAAAGAGCGATCCTGCAATAACAACATGAAGAGATTCAAGATCCCTGGCATAGAGGCAGCTCATGAGCACTTCAGCAGGTTTTCAGCCTGAGGCTCACAAAGAGTGGAGGCTACATCTAACCCTAGTTCACCTCTGCCACCCACACAGAGCTCCACTCGGGGTGGGGGACACAAGTCGCTTCTCCATCCAGCCTCCTCCACAAAGCTGTTTGCTTTCAATCAGTGTTAAAATCTGATGGGATTCCCTGAAACACCTGTGCCATTGACAGCAAGGCTTCGCCTGACTCGCAAAGAAAGCTCCCCAGCAGCTTTGAAGTGAGGGACATGGCACTATTACTAGCACAGAAGCGTTCAACCAAAGCAGAGACATCTATATCCTCCTAGGCAGTAATCCTGTCCTTGCTCCATCAATAGCCAACATTTCTCACGCTGCCGTGAATATTTCTTAGGCTGCTAACTTTCACGCCCCGTGTTTATTTCTCTTCATGCAGGGTACTGCCATTTTAGCAAACAACAGGTGTACGTGGTGTAATATATAGCATGTGTGTGTACATATAATCTATATTTACAGCAATCTAGATTTAGATGCCCTCTGTCTATTAATTTAAGCAGGAGAGGTGCCCAAGTCCCTTAGCCTGCTACAGAAAGCATAACTTTCTCTATCTTTAAAAGAGGTAAACCATCAGGATAAGAACATAAGCTGTCATTTCAGGCCCCAAAAAGGTATTTTCTGTGATGAGCCAAAGGCCGAAGGGGATGGCAAATTTTTTTGAGACGTGTCATTTAACTCTCGCAGATACTAAGTAGCCGAGATAAAACGTTGGGGGCTCTCCATGAAAATGTTCGGAGTCCAGCCACCCCCGGCAGGATTTCTAACAGAGACACCCTCTGTTTTAATAAAGAAAAACAGACAAAAAACAAACCGGAAAGGTCACCGTACTAACCCGTTTAAACTCCAGACTATTATTAGCCAGTGGAGGGGGGGAAGACCCTATATAAATACACCTGCAATGAAAAACAAAACCAAACCAACTTGGGCAGAGTTATCCATTAACTCCCGAATCAATTTTCCCACTAACGGCCTTGACTCGAGTCGCCTGCGTTGCAGTATCGGCGGCTGGAAAAGTCATCGGATAGACCTGGTGTCAGAAATACAGCGCAAGGCATTTCCCACGAAAAGGGACCACCTCGCCCAACGGTTCGGGGGTCCTTACCTGAGGCTACGCAAAGTCCCACCGCGTCCAAAGTTCCCAACTAAGCAGGAA